GATCTGTGTTCGACTACTCCACCTAGGCTGCATTGTCGAGCGCAGATCCCTGCTGTTTCAGCAACATTTCATTTAAAAACTGGACTTTTGAGGTTAAACAAATGTTTATAATTAATTTCAATAAATTACAAGTTAAGAAGAACATGGGCATTTCTCTTTTTTGTTTTGAAAAAATATCAAACCGTGACGCTAAAGTATCAAACTGAATCATGTATTTTCTGTATCATTGCACCCCTAGTATTTATATATCAAGAGTACACATAAAGTGGTTTCATGGACTAAAGCTCTTGTTCTGATGAAGCAAACTGTGCAGTTTTTGTTTAAAGGGTGAGACTCTAGATGGAAAATCTCCTGCGGTGATCGACTATACGCCCTACCTGAAGTTCACACAGAGGTGAGCCCGACCCCTTTTTTTTTTTCACACCTCGAGTGTCAGGTTCTTGTAACGCTCCCCGCCTTTCTGCCGTGCAGCTACGACTACTTCAGCGACGAGGAGGACCGGCGCAGCGTGGACAGCAGTAACAGTGAGGAGAGCGTCTCCGAGCACCCCTACGTCCCGCTGGTGACCGACGAGGAGAGCTGGAGCAACAAATGTCGCAAGATGGAGCAAAGGTTTAAGATCGTCTATGCTCAAAAGGTGACCCCCCCGCCTTAACCTTAATGTCCCGTTTGGTCCCGTCCCGCCTCCTCTCATGTAGGTGTTTTTTTTTTGTGTTTTTCCAGGGTTATCTGGAGGAGCTGGTGCGTCTGCGAGAGTCGCAACTGAAGAACGTGGAGACAGAAAACAAGCATCTGAGAGCAAAGGTGGAGGAGCTGACGATGCAGGGTCAGCAGGAGAAGAAGGAGCTGGAGGCCGTCGTGCTGGAGCTGCAGGCTCAACTGTGAGGACGTGTCTTTAGATGCTGTTAGCTTTTAGCTTGATTGGTTAGCGTTGTTGCCTCACAGAAAGTAGTCTTTTGTGGAGTTTTCATGTTCTCCTCATGTTAGCGTGGGGTTTCTCCGGGTCCTCAATGGATCTTTGATCTGTGGTTTGCCTGCTTAAAAAGGATAATAAAGGAAATAATTATTGATGCTTTTAGCTTTTAGCTAAGACATTTCAGCACCACCTTGAATTCCAATGATTAGACTGAAATGAATGACCTTTGACCTCCGCCCTCCACAGCTCCGCCCTCACACCTTGCGATACTTCTCATCTGGCTAAAGATCTTTCCATCCCTTTGATCAACCAGTGGTCTGACATTGCAAACAACCAAGGAGACGTCAAACTGTTCCGCAGGTAAACTCACCTGACTGTAAAACTCCTCCTATTAAAAGTCATATTTCAATACTTTGTTGACATATACTATGGGGCACCCGGTGTAAAATAAAATGTCACAAACGCATTTTCATTATTCAGCTCACTTTGAGAGCGTTAGCAATGTTAGCAGAGTTAGCAGCGTTAGCAGTGTTAGCAGCATTAGCAATATTAGCAGTGTTAGCAGAGATAGCAGCATTAGCAGAGTTAGCAACATTAGTAGCATTCACGGATTTAGCAGCATTAGTAGCATTAGCAGTTTTAGTTGCATTAGCAGAGTTAGCAGTATTAGCAATATTAGCAGTGTTAGCAGAAATAGCAACATTAGTAGCATTAGCAGAGTTAGCAGCATTAGCAGTGTTAGCAAAGTCGACAACATTTGTTAGTTGTGTTAGCAGTGTCAGTAGCATCAGCAGTGTTAGAGAGATAGCAGCATTAGAAGAGTTAGCAACATTAATGGCATTAGCAGCATTAGCAGCGTTAGCAAAGTTGACAATGTTAAAAGTGTTAGCAGCATTATCAGTGTTAGCCGATATATCAGCATTAGCAGAGTTAGCAACATTAGTAGCATTAGCAGAATTAACAGCGTTAGCAAAGTTGACAACATTAGCAGTGTTAACAGAGTTAGCAAAGTTAGCAGCGTAATTAGTGTTAGCAGAGTTAGCAGCGTTAGAATAGAATAGAATAGAATAGAATAGAATAGAATAGAAATAGCCTTTATTGTCCTGCTAAGGGGAAATTCAGGTGTCACAACAGCATCAGTACAGAGGTTCACACACTAGTTTAAAACTATAGACAATATAATATAAAGGACTGTGCATAGGCCTGTCACGATAACAAATTTTGCTGGGCGATTAATTGTCTCAAAATTTATTGCGATAA